AAATTCAACATCCTTTTTATAATCACTTGAATATCCTTTTAACATCCAAGTCTTCTTAACCTAACCAAAAAACACACATTAAAACAGAACTCAGTCAGGTTCCACAACTGACTTACTAAACGTCTTGTTTAATCTACATTACAATTATTTACTACCAGTGTGTAATTGCTGGCAACTATTCAAATCCCCTCAGCTACTAAGCTGGTATTAGTCAAGAGGCTGCACAGAAAATTAAGCAGCTTTTGTGCAGTTCTAAAAGACAGCCGTGATCAAGAAAACAACTTGCTCATTTTCTTTGCTAATGGCCTCAGCCTTCCAGAAGCGATTTGGGTTCTCAATGAAGTCTGTCAGAACTGTGACAATCTGCAATAGAAACTCGCAAATACTTTGTGCATCTTCTATTTGCATACTGAAACTAGGAACAGATATTGTTTATGTTGAGAACCAGTCAAATGTGAACTTGCAAACTGTTGTAAGCACCGAAAAAGCTATCAATTTTTAAGAACAGCATATTGATCGTGCATGAGAGGTAATTTTTTGTTGAAGGTCTATTACTTTTTTAATCTCATGATTTTTAGTTGAGGGTTTCTTGCACTGTCATCTGTTATGAATGCCCAGAAGAGTTTAATATTTGATCTCTTAATTCTGTAATGTGATCAGCCAGAACAAAGTATATGAAAAAGCTGGCAACTCAGTAAATTATGTAATCTGAGGCTAATCCAAGGCCCTATGAAAGAGCAATGAAAAACTGAAGCACAATAAAGGTAATGAATAAAATCCTAAACTAAGGAGTTTAACCAGGGTAAAAGAAATGAATACATGCATTGGCTAAAGCATGTTAGCCCGAATTATAAACTGCATGTCAATTCAGTCCTTGATCTTTCAGCTTCCACTGCTTTGTGTGGTATATTAGCGCTCGGTATTAACGTGGGACTTCTTTTGGCACATCTGTATCCCTATCGAACACAAAATATTTTGTTATTGGAAAACTTTACATAAACAGTAACTATTAGTTCATTAACCAAGGCTTGAGTCAAAACAGACCAACACCTTCTGTTAACATTTTTGTGTTCTCCACCTTATTTCTCTTTGAAGGTAAAGAGAAGCGGTCCTCCCACTTACTGGGACACTACTCTCTAACATCGTGACATGCAAACATAAATTACTATTGTTAAAACAATTTTCGATATAAAACTTCAGAAAGATTGTGGGTCTCTTGCCTCTATCATACTATGCCACAGAGCTTTTAGCCAAGTAAGATCAAACTAGAAAAGAAATAGAAAAAGAGACTTAAGAGGAGCAATCAGGTACTACAGAAAGCTTCATAATTTGAGAATAACCACACCATTCCTCACAATGAACCAGGACAAAGCACACGGGGACCCCATCTTCTCTAGAAAATGGTTCGCAGAAGATGCATTCCAAAATCCTGACCACTAGTAGTTGCTACAAATAAGACATGGTCTATACTAGCTGAAGCGTTAACTCTCACGTTCAGGCAGAAGCCAGCTTCAGTAAGGACATCTTGCATACTGTAAATTCTTCTCAATTTCAGCTGCGATACACATCTCCTCTTAAATTGACATGCAATATTTTTATCTTAACCAGAATTATGAAATCGTTTAGGTTGGAAAAGACCTTTAAGATCATCAAGCCCAACCATTAACCTAACACTGCCATCCCACCACTAAACCCTGTCCCCAAGTACCTTGCCTACCCGTCTTTTAAATACCTCCAGGGATGGGGACTCAACCCCCTCCATGGGCAGCCCTTTCCAGGGCTTGACAGCCCTTTCATAGAAAAACTTTTTCCTAATGTCCAACCTAAACCTGCCATGGCGCAACTTCAGACCATTCCCCCTCGTCCTACCACCCATTACCAGGGAGAAGAGACCGACCCCCACCTCGCTATAACCTCCTTCCAGGATACATTCCATAGTCTGGATCTGGAAGCATTGGAATGTTATCACAAGAACTGGAAGGGAATAAATAAAATGGAATCAACTGTGGTAGATATTACTTTTACATCCATTTGTCTTTTGTAAAAAATGCAGTCATGAAATCTCAGTAGTACTTGTTTTTTCCTATTTTCATTTTTTTCCAAAAGGTCTCTGAATATGAAGACACATTGAAAGCTCGAAGTTTCACTATTAGCATTTAAACATGGACAATCTCAGATCAATCTCAAGCTATTTTTAGAAGTAACTTCTTTTTACAATGAGGAAAACAAGCAACATTTAGTTGTGTGCAAACTTTCAGCTAAAAAAGCAGAAAAATAGAAGCACAAATGAAAATCAGTTCCTACATGGAGAGAGGATTGGGAAGGCTTTGAAAGCAAACATGGTAATTTAAGACCGCTAAAGCATGTGCCACCATGGTAATCTGGAAGACTATTAAAATGGCAACTTATGCTACTCTCACTAGAAAAACGTTGACAGCTAAGCAGGGATTAAAACACATTCCTGTTAACTTTTAATTGCAGTTGAATCTCTTTGGTTTTGCTTGTC